CTTCAGCTCAAGGCAAACACTCTACCACTTGAGCTACAGCGCCACTTCCGGTTTTCTGGTGGTTTATTGGAGATAGGAGTCTCAAGGTCTCTCCTGCCCGGGCTGGCTTTGAACTATGATCCTCAGATCTCAGCCTCCTGAGTAGCTAGGATTACAGGCGTGAGCCACCAGCACCAGGCTTGGCCTGAGCTTCTTTTGCTCATGTTTAGCTCTACCACTTTAGCCAGAGTGCCCCTTCTGGCTTTTTCTGTGTATGTGGTACGGAGGAATCAAATCAACCCAGGTCTTCATGCATGCTAGGCAAGCACTCTACCACTAGACCACATTCCCAGCCCCAGCATTTTTTTTTTTTTTTGATCTGTCATGGGGCTTGAACTCTGGGCCTGGGTGCTGTCCCTCAGCTCTTCAGCTCAAGGTGAGCGCTCTACCACTTGAGCCACAGCACCACTTCCTGGAGTCATACCCTTCACCACACTTTCTCCCAACCCTCACTAAAAATGTTTATTTGAAAGGGATAGGAGGAGAAGGAGAAAGCATTGGGCATGCTCAATTCAGATGCTTGTGGGTTCTCCTCCTGGCTTTTGCTTTAAAAGAAACTCGGGTCGCTCTCTACCACCTGAAGAAAACCTGTTGCTGTGTTTGAGCAAGTGACGCTTTCCCAGTCTCTGTGGCTTTCCTTCATGCTACTCCTCAATTCATTCTACCCTTAGGCTGAGAAAGTATTATTTAAGATATATTCGATCAGTTTCCCTCCTTCTCTCTTGTCTGCCGATAGATAGCACGTCTCAGAGAAGTTCTATGCACTACCCCTGCCAAAGTGTGGACAGAAATCAAGAGTCTACAATGTGGGTGAATTACAATGTAAGCGAAAAGTCAGCTGGGTGGACACATATGTTAGACAGAGGTAATGAGGAGTCGAGGCCAGAGGCTGAAGACACACAGCTCGGGGGTTCAGAGGACCTGGGAACTGGGAAGTAGGTGGGAGGGTTGTGGCACTCTGTGGGTAACAGGCAGGCCCTGCTAGGGCCTGACAGCCTCGGGCTTAGCCCCTGCTGCCCACCTCCCATCTCAAGTGCCCTAGGACGGTTCTAACTGGGACTCTTTATCTTCTTTCTCCTAGTGCTGGATCTGGAAGCCTGGCCAGTCACTAGGGAGACAAGACGATGACCAGGATCCCCACCCTCCACCCCAGGACGGTAGTACCTTTGGGCTCCACGAGGCACCGCCCCCCGCCCCCCTAACGAGGGTGTAGGGCGCTGTGAGACACTCACTCAGGTCCCAGCCGAGTGTGGGATCCCCAATCCGGCTTCACTTTCCTCCCGGAGGTCTGTGAGGGGATGCCTGGCAGCAGGATGGCTGGCATCTGAGCGTCGGGCCGCGCGATCTCCCACGAACTCAGTTTCCCCTTCTGCGAGCTTATTGCTGGGGGTTGGGGTGATGGAGAAGCGCTGCGCACCGCCCCCGGCCGAGCGCCGCAGCCCCCCCCCCC